CTGAGTATTGATAAAACTTGGAATAAGCTCACAGTAAGGCCTGACAGGATATAATGAGGTGAGGTTAAAGGGGTACTGTGCTTGTAATTTAATCTTGGTAGATACAAATTAGATGACATTTTTAGTTGTTGTTCTGTCAAATGAACACTAATGCTTTTGGAGGATACATATTTTTCAGTTTGCTTGTGTATCCTATATCTCTTCTTTCACCTTTCCCCTTCTGTAATCAAGATGACCAAGATATTTTCCTTTTGCAATGAAAGGTAGGAAAATCAACCGATTTCATCTTAACTCGAGACATTTGTATTGTTTATAGGCTGGCCAGTGGAAATGGTGCAACTGTAATGATTCAAGTTATCTACCTTGTGACCTCCTGTAGAAGTAGAAATGTTGTTCATCTCAATTCTACTTTATTTACACCATAGCTGAAGTTGTGGCTCCACCTACCAAGAAACAGCACAGGATGTGGAAGACATGAGATGAGGGTGGGGGGTGATCATAAAAACACTTTGGAAGCATGGTGGTTTATCAAGCAGAGTTAAGTACGCTGGGGCTAAAACCCAGCTAAACCCTGGGGCTAAAACCATTCAATTGAGAGCATGCATTCAAGTTCTTCTTTTACATGTGGCTCCAAAGTATGAAATTTTGAAGTCCTCTGGTGTTGCTTTATGTTCAAAGGAGTGTGGTTTTACACTTTTACTAAGCCAGTCGAGTAGTTAGATGTACTTGCTACCAAAGTTTACATTCATTAGCTGCTCCTGCTTTTCTGCACTTTTCTGCACCTAATCCTGCAGTGAGCTGATTCAGAAGATGAAGCTAATAAGGAGATTACTGTTTCTGTGGTTCACCTCTGTGTATTGGCTCATAATCATGCCAGATGATGATGCAGGTATAATGGAGAAGGCTAGAATGAGAAAAGAGGCAAAAGGAGTAAGACTGGCAGCAGTTACTGTTAAATCACTGTAATTGTAAGAAAGGAGAGAAGCATATGAAAAACCCTGTGTAGTGTAAAGTGTTAACTATAAACACCAATTTTCTCACAGTTTTCAGTTCTTTGAAAGCAAAGATGGAACACAATTTTTGAAGTGCTCATTGTTCTCTCACAGCTTTCAGCTTATGAATGTTATGGGAAAGAGAAGAAATATTGCTTAATTAGTGGAAGAAGTTTTGAGAATGGAAACAATAAGAATCTTTTTGCCAAGACCTCAGTAGTGCATTCTGGGAAAGAGGAGCGTAAAAACCCAAATCTATCACATTAGCAAGAAACTTGCATTCTATTGTTTTTATTTCTGAATACTGAATTTCTGAAGTTTTTATTTCTGAATACTGACTTCTAGGATAGGCCAAAACTTAAACACATCATTAATTGATCTTAGGCCACTTCAGCTTTTAAAAAAGCCTACTGCCTTGGAAATTGAAAGCTTTAAAATGATAGCTATTGTTTGTTAAGAAGTTTCAACTTACTACACCATGAAACAAAGCAGATGGCACAACTTTTTCATCATACATTTAGGCTGATGTAAAGAAAGCTTGTGAGGATAATTGGCACATGAAATTCGTGGAAACTGAACTATTGTCTTGTTGGATGATTGTACTAATACACTTTACCTTGTATCTTAAGCCTTGAGTTAAGAGCATTGAAATAAGCTCTTATGGCCAGACCTAGTTAGTAAGGAGCTTTCGACAAGTAAATATTCTCTTGCTGTTGAGGTCCTGGGATGTTTTATAATGGGAGATGCATTTTGCAGAACAGAAGAAGGATTTTTTTTTTTTCTCTTTGTATGTCAGGAAGTCTTGATTGTAAGACTGCTTCAGTTCTTCATCTTTGATATGTCTGCAGTGTTTCACTGTTTCTGTCTATGCGGATGCACTACTATGATCAGTAACGCTTGAGTTTCCATACTTCAGTCTTTCCAGCATTAAAGTAAATTACAGTCCTCAGTAATCAAGGCTGTGAATAGTAGAAATCTTCCTTCCAGGTACTACGTTCTTACTCAGAAAGTCAAAACTGATATAAAGAATATGTTTCGAAATGGAAATTTCCCAATAGGATAAACCTGTACCTGCATCTCTTTAGAAGATATTTGCCCCATTCAAGGGATCAGGAACTTACCTTGGCTCTTAGTGCAGTCATTTTAGCTTTATCCCTAGATTATTTGCTAAAATCAAGGGGTCTTACCCCTTTATTTTACATTTATCTTTATATAATGTGACCTCTGTGGCCCTTACTTTAGTAATGGTCAGAGCTTTTCTCTTCCAACGTGTACCTAAAGTGTCGAGAGTATGTATTTACTTGTACGTCTTCTGAAATTCCATTATCCTTCAAGTTTGCACGTTATACTTAAGAATCTGGTCCAGAAGATCAAGAAAGACTTAATCCCTCAGTGTAGGCAGTGCTTATGGAAAATCAGATTTGTTCACATTGGGCTCAATTTTCTGATCACTGAGGTTAACTTTTCAGTTTAATCAAGAAGGGTAATGCTGCTCTTCACAAAAGAGTTTAGATGCTGTTGAGAAGTTAGGATATCAACTCCATACGTTAATCCTGTTAGCAGTCCAGGATTGCCTCAGGAGAGAGATACAATCTGCTTGTATGAGATGTGTATCAGTAAATAACATTGAGACAGAAGAACATAGCTGTTACAAAATTAACATAAAGCAACACAAGGTTCCTTGTGGTGAAATTTGTCTAATCTTAATTAAATGATATGACTCCCTTTTGTCTTCCATCTGCTGCTCCTTCCTGACTGGAGTTAACTTTCCGTTGCACAAAAGCCCCTTAGAAATCTCATGAATGAGGTGTCACATCTGAGTTGGGTATGTCGGCCTTCAGGGCTGTATCCATGCAGAAGAGAGAGTTCTTTGAGTGGAGACACTAAAATTGTTCTTTGGTCAGGTTTGCGAAGGTTGGATTGCAGAAGATAATGCATTGGTTTGGATAGGCAGTAAGATCCCTTTTTCCATCCCATCTGCTAGTTCATAGTTACTTGTGAGCGTGCTTAGAACTCTGTTCAAACATGACTACCCTTTCATTATTTATCTCTCTTCTTATAAGCTTTTTATTAATTCCATGACCAACAGTGTCCAAAGAAACTTCATCGCTGTGGAGACCTTAGCCTGTTCTTGTGGCTGATACTGTAGGATTGGGCCAAGGAGAAAAATGCCATCTAATCCAGGCATGTGCATATAACCAAGCTTAATTTTTTGGTCAGTGATACAGCATATAGTTTCCCATTATGACGAACATATTTATTAAACAGTGAACATCTGATCTCATAAATAAGACTTAATTTTCTGCACATATTCTTGTTACCAGTAGGATCTGTCTACAGTGAATTCATGATGCAGTTATCTGAAACTGCTTCACAAAAGCTTAATGTAACGTTCACCACTAGTTGAACTAGCAGGAGAGCAGCTCCTTTCTTTCTAGAACTTATTTTTTAGTAAGCACAACTTTGTATGGACCAATAAAAGACTGATTGTTCTAACAGTTGGGTTTTATTGAGGACTGTTTGTACTGGGATTCACTTCTGCTGGGATGCAAATTTTGCTTTGTAGTAGTTCAATTCTTAGGCTACTCAGTATTCACAACTGTCTGTCTCTCTTAAATGATCTTCTTCATCCCCAAGAAAAGCTTTAAAATACTTTCTTTTTTCTGCTCTTGAACAGCCTATTCTCTAACTGAAGAATCTAATTTAGAAAACAAGGCCATGTGAGGGCAAGTAGTAGTGCTGGAGATCTATTTAAATATGTGAAGAGTCTTTGCTTCCAGGCAATTAATCTTTAGAGAAAGAGCAATAGAATATTTCAGTAATTATTTTAACAGTAAAGATCTGTGATGATTGAGCCAGTAATGTCTTTTAATATGGTAACTCCTAAACTACTAATTGGCCAAGCCCCATCTCTTCCTAGACTTTGAGCCAGATGACTGGAAATGGAAAAAACACTCTTGATTTGGGATAAAAAGTAGGTTTTTCCATTGTTTTTAAATTCAGAATGCTTTGGAGTTAAGAATATGGTAAAAAACAGCAATAAAATGTAGGGAAAGCTACTTTTGCCATTATGTTATAGCTGAAAAATAAGTTTTGGGAGATCTGTGTTCAAAGTTGTTTCAAAAGGCTGTAGCTTGCTTTCCAACTTCCTCGACCTACAAAATAATTGGTCGCTTGAGACCTGAGGGGGTTTTCAGACTTCAGTAATTCCTATAAACCCCTAAATCTGTGCTCGCGTCTTTGCTTGTTATCTATTAAGTGCTCCAGCCATACTATGTTTTAACATTACCTGTATGTCTGATTATGACGCATCTGAAATTGCTGGTGATCAGGCTGGAAGGAGAAGAAGGAATAGTAATCAGTCATACCAGTTCCATTACAGTATCTTTTCTGTAATCCTGCATCCATCTTGCATCCCCTGAAGAATTATCAGATTTCAGGTGGGAAGTGAGGGGAACAGAACTCCTCATGAGCAGTGGAGTGCATGACTGGTGAACATAAATGAGTCTTAACTGGCAGACCGTCTCCTTGTTTCTTGGTAGGTGGAGCCCTAACTTTGCTGTTGCTGGGTAGAATGGGAGAAGACTGTAAGAATTACAGTGAGTAACTTAGAAATAAGTACAATCCAGAACGTTGTTCAGAGGACTGAACTGCCGTGACACCTAAAATTCTAGCCCTTCTGTAGCTTAGTGTTGGTGTTCTTGTTCTGTTTTTTTCCCAGCCTTAGTTCCCCTCTTTTAATTTGAATTTGGTAGAGATATAACTTTGGCTGTAGATTGGGCTGACTGGAACCTGTGATTGCCATAGACCTGTTGACATTGTCTCCTTAATATAGGTTCAATTAAACTTTTGCTGGCTTGTATTTTACTTTTTTACCATTGAAAAAAATAATTATATTTTACAGTATTCACATGAGTTGATATTTGGGTGCATTTTCACGTGCATAGTCTGTATATACTGTACTTTCTGTAAAGTTGCTTTTCTTTTCCCCTTTTTCTCTGCCAAAAGGAATCAGATACACCACCTTGCACAGCTCCTAGTGTTTACCAGTTCAGTCTTCAAGCACCGACTCAGCTTATGGCCAGTTTACCACCCGCATTGCCTATGCCAAGTGGTAAACCCCAATCTGCACCTACGGGAACCTTGATAATGGCCGCCAGTAACCAGGTATGAGCCAACTAAACGGAGCAACTCTTTCCTGAGAAAGGGATCAAATCGGAAGTGTAGATCATTTGCGCTGTGCTGTCAGTCTAAAAACCTCTGAAGATAACCTTCATATAGCCTGTGCTAAGCTTCGTGTAACTGTAGAAGTACTTAGCTGCCGTATCAGAAGTGGGGGGAGAAGAGTGGGTGGGAAAGTGTTCGGTGTTTGAGTTGCATCTCCGCATATAAGAGCCCTTCCACCACACAGACACACAGGAGTAAGTTAAAGAGCGAGTGTCAGGTGTCTTGACTCTTGAAGTTGTATTTGAGAGTCCTGGTGCCCAGCTAGTGGGATATTTGCAGATCTTTAGGCTGTTTGAGTTCCTGTTCTTCGATTAGAAACTTCACATAGGTGGTATAGGTGTAAGCTTGTTTTTGAATCCAGAGAAAAGTACTGACCTTTCTAGGCTTGTTTGGTTGTCTTGATTTTGAATTATTAGATCTGGTTACACTTGTAACTTTCTGTAATATGTTTTAAAGATAGAGAACAGAAAATTAATTATGGGCAAGTCTACAAAAATTTTTACCAAAAAATAAAATGTGTACATAAATGTGCTGGGAGGTGAATGTATTTTGGCTAATATAGCCATTATAGTACAAGGGAAAGTCAAATCATTAGTTTGTTTTTTTCTTTTTTTTTTTTAAATAGCCTTAGTGCTGTTTATTATCTGCCAGAAAACATTCCCCCAGTCTTGATTATTAAAACTATTAATATGCCACACATGAAATTTAATGCAACTTGTGGGTTGTTGTAGGTTGCCTACGATAACAAAATAGCAAGCTGATTTCTTTGAAACCTAGTTTTGGTCAGGTTCTTACAATGTTTTCCTTCTTTTCTGAGTCCTTTTATCAGAGTTCTTGAGAATCTAGGGCCAGGATATTTTCAACTTAATGACCTTGCCTTTTTTATTTGATTCAGCGCTTATTTATCTTCATGGACTTTCAGTGGAACACTTTCCAGTATGTCCATGTCTCTGTTCCTGGGGAGCCCAGACCTGGGCCCAGCACTGCCATGTGTGGCCTCACCTGTGCTGAGTAGAGAGCAAATGATCACCTCCCTTAACCTGCCTTTGATTTTAATTGAAGTGATTACACAGATTCCTCCCCTCATTCCTCCTTTCCCTGCTTTCCCCGCTTTCCCCTACTGCTCAGTCTTACTTAGGCAAAACCAGCTTATCTGCACAGGAAATGTTCTGTTAGTGAGAAGCTAATAAAACAATATACTGCTATTCTAGTGTCTGCAACTGAGTATTCACTTGTTAGTGTACAGTCTGAAACTTTTGACTTTTTTTTTAGAATAAAACTGGAGAGCTATTTTAAGTTAAACTTCATCTAAAATACAGACTTAGTCTAGATTGTTTTCCTTAATAGCTCTACTTTTCTGAAGAGGTACTCTGGAGTTGAGCTTCTGAATTACAAAAAATAAAATCCAATTTGGAGGCATGCGGTTGTTAGTACAAAACAAGTTGGCATTCAGAGTGTTTGCCAGTTGTGAAGAGGCAACGTGTTGTATGAATTTTGGATCTCTGTTGGAGTTTTGAATCTTGGAAAACAACTGCTTTGTAGCACTTTTTCTGGCTTTCTGCTACTTGACTGTCCTTTCCAATGATTAACTGTTCTTTTAGTAGTTTATATAGTACTTATGTATTTAAAAGTGGGAATTCTTATGTGGCTTTTGCTTGACAAAGATGTGCCCTTGAGAATCACACAAAATCAGAAGAATTTCTTGCTATCTACCGTTCAGAAATGGGATGATGATTTCTTGCCTTGAATTCACCAAAAGCTTGTATTTTGTGAAGTAGAAATGTACTTTTTTGATTAAGATTATGACGTGAGTCAGAAGTGGGAAATGAAGCCCTTCTACCCAGAATATTGCAAATGTCTTTTTTTTACCTCTACCTTCTGGACCAGGACTGTTCTAGATTAGGTTGATGGCTTTCCTTTTGCAGTTGATAAAACCTAAGACCATGCTAGTTTATAACTTTTAATGGGCACATTCTTCTTGCTCAGAGGACTCCTAATGGATTTGAACATGTACAAGCCTTTTTTCTTAACAGCAAGTGTTCTTTCATATTCAAAAAGTTTTGAAAGGGATTCATTTGTCTACATGGTGTATTCAACTTTTTCCCTGGCAACCTCCTCCACCTCAGTTCTGCTTGGAAAGCTGTACCTAGATGTTGAGTGCAACCCTGAAAAGCAGGAGGTGCCAATGTCAAGAGCAGTGAATGTATTTTGAACAAATTACAGCCTTCTAGGCAAGTCTGCTGCTGTTAAAGCTTCCTAATATTTTCTTTTTGAAACAAGCTTGGTGTGATTACCAATTCTGTTTACATACTGCATAATTAATTGGAGAATTTCCAGATAGTTCAGGGACTGATTAAGCTCCTGGCACAGGAGCTTTTCAGGATCATCATCCATCATTTTTCGAAGGTAATCATTCTTCTACTCTGCTGAAAAGCAGCTTGAAATGTCACTTGGGAGAGCAGAACAGTTTATGAAGCAGTGCTGCGCACTGGAAATATGCAGGAAAACAAATCCTGACATGCATGTCCAGATGAATGGAGGGGCAGAAATTGCTCGGTATCTTCCCATGGAGAGGAAAGGACTACTTTCCCTGTTGTTACTTTGAGATCAAGTAAGTTCAATTCATGCTGGATTGCTGGATGCTAGGTCAACAATGAAGGCAGAAGAAACTTCCTTTTTCTTAGGTCTGAAGAACTCTTTCATTTCATTTTCAAGATGATTCTTTTTTTCCCCAAAGGGTTCTCTTTTGATTCCAAAGTATCTAAAGCCAGTAAGCACCAGCCCCTCTGCTGTATTGACTGGCTTCTAGTGTGCCTAAGACCATTTAGATGAGTAGTGTCTGGGAATGTGTTCATTGCAAATTTCATAGCACCATGCACTGGCTCAGTTGGGAAGCACGGGAAACAACTAGGAAATGAAACCTTAATGTCAGTGCTGAAATACCACAGTCAAAACTTATAAAAGGACTTGCAGGAGTAGTTTGTTTTTCAGTTTCTTTTGTGTTTTGCCAAATAAGGCCAGACACTTAAACTTATAAACTGCTTGTTTATACTGCTTTACAGGCACTTCTTTGGCTAAAATACTTTTGTTTCAGAGTTCGTCTTTATCTGGAACAATTGTTAGTGGTGTTACTAGTAGTCAGTAGTAGTGCTGGTCCTGCTAGTATCTCTGAAATGATTACTGAAAAGTTAGCAGCATTGAAAACAAAATTGGTCGGGGACTTCAGTCAAAAATGTATTTCTTTTAGATGAGTGCAAGCAGTTAAGTGTAGTTCACCTGGATGAAAGAAAGGTTTGTAAAGGCATGTTTTAATTCATGTCAATGCTGAACTCTACCAAATGTTTCTGAGAAGGCAGGTATCATCAACTAGCCAGATGTACAAATATGCTGAATTCCCTTAGTATAATGTGATACTTCAGAGTTTTTAGTATGTTAGCTTCAATTTAAAAAAGACCTCATTTGTTCAGTGGCATTTTTAAGCTGTTTAGGTACTGAAAGTTTTGTCAGTCAATCAGATGACATTTTTCTTGTTTTTTTATCTAGAGCACACTCGTTCAGGGTGGAATAATTTTTCGGTGTCCCTGCATTTTCATAAGAGGGAGTATACTACTGTCTACTTTGGAAACGGTTTTGATTCTAAACATCAGACTGCTATCTTCTGTGTGTGACAGAATGTTGTTTGGTTCTTGATTTAATACATGCAAAACTAGGAGAAGTGGATGATGTTTTATTTCCTTTCCTAAAGAAAGGAGAAAAGGAAAAACTGCATCTGAGTTTGAGGTTGTTCAGCTGAAAACAGTACTCAAGATATTTTTCATCTTAGGTTGTGCTATATTTATATGGATGGTCTTTAAGTGGTGTTATCTTTACATGTATGGAAACTGACTTAGCCTGACCAGACCCTGGATAACCTAATCTGACTCTGCTTACAGCCAGAATGTTGAATTAAATGATCTCCTGAGGTCTCCATATAAATATCCAGTCTAGATGTTTATAGGACTGTGTGGAAATCTCTGGCCACCTTGGTGGTTGCTTCCTGAGTGCTTTTTGAGTTGCAGGAAAGACAAAGTCTAAATAGTAGTTTCTTAGAAAGATAAACTCACCATAAATGACAGACTTACTAAAACGTGGAAGTCATACCTTCTTTTTATTTGTGTAGTACTCCTTTATCTTCCAATGTCATTGTAATCAATTTTTTTGCTCCTGAACTGAGATTGATTTGAATAATCACATATACACTTTGTCTGCACAGTTTCTCACATGTACTGTATTGATATCAGCTCATCATCTGGAAAGTGGTTTGCTCACTGTGATACTTCTTTATTTGGAACAAAAAAGTTGAGTAGTCTCAGTGAAGTAAGATTTGTCTTTAAGGTCTGAAATTGTCTGCTGTGTGCTAAAAAAGCTATTATCTCTTGTTCTCCTTAATGACAAGTATGCAGGTAACACTTCGTGACCCATGTCGCAACATCATCAAAATTGCAGTTTGAGTTCTGTCTTCTGGTAGCATTGTTTTCACTCTCACCCCTCACTTTTAAAACTTGACTGGTGACAAGATCAAAAAGGGTATTTATTTTGCATGTCATTTTACTTTCTTTACTGTAATATGGTTCAGTATTTGCTGAGATGGTAATGGTAGTCTCTACTGTCAGTCATTTTGGGACTAGGCCCTCCAGTCTCTGAAATACTAGTTTATCTTTGACCTGCTCATACTAGTATTGCCTAACCTGTTGTAAAAGGTGAAGAGAACCAAATACTTCCTGTTGTGTGGTAGCTCTACCAGTAGCCTGTAACAAAGTGAAATAAGATATGAAGGATTGATATAACCTCCCTTGCAGCTTTAATTTTTCCAGTTCTCTTGTGTTGGAAGATTAGATGTAAAACTTTTCTTGCTTTTGAGCTCTTTCTGATCTCCACTGTGATTTTTCTTGTTTGCTTCTCTCATGGCTGGCTCCATAAGGTGCTGTTTTCCCTTTCTAAGGGGAACAGAAGGGGGTTTGGGGGTTTTATATATCTATTCCGGACTCAAGATCTTGTCAGTTGTAGTTGAAAGTAGCCAGTAGGTACCCAAAAGAGGGGAAGTGTCTTTGATATTTGCAGTGCTTTGGGCTTTATTTCTCCAAATTGCCAGTACTAAACAACTTCTGGAAGAACTTATTTTGCTTTTGCTTGTCAGTTAAGAGTACGCCCAGGTAGCTGATGCAAATGTCTTGTAGAATCCTGTGAACTAATCTAAAGTAATGAGGCTTGGTTGGACCATTGCCTAATACTTGGCTTATTGTTCATGCATATTGATGAAAATGTTGGTTAGGTCATTGTTCACTATTTCTCTGCAAAACAATGAATTTATTTCATAAAGAACAGTAAGTTAAATTTTTTAGTGTATTTCCAGATGTTGTTTTACTCAGAAAGTAGGAAAGTAAAGATAAATCCGTAAAAAAGGGTTTTTTATCTTGTCGGGGTTTTTTTGTTTGTTTGTGTTATTTTGGGTTTGGTTTGGTTTTGGTTTTATTTTGTTTGTTTGTTTGTTTTTGGTTTTTTGTTTTTGTTTTGGCTTTTTGGGGGAGTTTGTTTGTTTGCTACAAGCTTAAAATAGAAAATTTGGAAATACTGAAAATAACTGTGAAATATTTTGAGGATGTATGTTAAGTTATTTAAGGGGATACTAAAATGTTAATGGTACATTAAAGTAGTTCTGAATACTATGGTATTTCACATGAAATGATTTTGAGGTATATGAGTTTGATCAACTGCAGACTAGTTTCAGCTCTGACCACTAATCCTGTAGTCTTATCAACAAAATAGTAAATAAGTGATCTTTCCAAACTGTCATGCCTTTTCTAAACTTTTCCTTTAGCTCTGTAAGTACTTACCATTTTTTTTGAACACTATATATAATCTCTTTAAAAGTTAAGAGTACAGATACTTTATTACCAATATTTCTCTGCTTTTGTTAGAGGTGCCGTCAGGCAAAGAAACCCCTAAAGACCAAAACAGCTCAGAAGCCCTGTTTATGTTTAGACTTCAGTTCTGTTATGTTACTTATTTCAAAGACTAGGTGATTTCTTTTTGGCTAAATTTTCGTTTTGAATAATGACACTCTTTGAATATCAGAGGTTTTGTATAGTAAATTTGCTGGTAATTAAGAATAACATTTTGGTTTCCTTAGCAAATAATTACTTGGTATTTCCATTTCAACCAGATTTCTGTTGATTGGAGTAAAGGCTGGGTACATCCTTTTCTTAGGGGTTTTCTGAGGCTTTTTTTTTTAGGGAGTGGGATGTGTGTGTTCAGTTTTTTTCTGTTTTCTGTTAAGCTCTGGGCTATTTGTTTATATCTTTTTTTATGTTGGGTTTTTTTGGTTTTTTTTTTTGTTTTGGTTTGGTTTTGGTGGGGTTTTTTGTTTGTTTTTGTGGGGTTTTTTGTTTGTTTGTTTGTTTTAATTGGAAACCTTTTTAACCTGGTATGTGATACAGAATTTCACCTCACTCCCACCCCTAGGCTTGGCTTAAATGCAAATTTGTTAGTTTTCCTTTCAGATCTAGCAGCTTATTCAACACAGCTGAAAAACAATTGAATTCTGTCATTCAGTTGTTGAATCGATAGCCCTGTGATGGGAGAGGAGATTATTCTATCAAGAGGAATAGATCCAAAGAAGTCAAAACCTCTAAACTGCAGATTTCTCTGTTGTATTTCAGATGAAGGGCTTTCTCTTTGGATTATCTGATCTCATCTGCTTACAGAGATGCCATCTCTCAATGATTGTGTGACTCCTGAGCATGGGAATGTCTAGAATTGTGTGCACAACAGAAGGATGTTTTATACAGCCTTTTGGGATTTCCAAAAGACATGAAATAAATTTCTTTTACCAAAGATCCTGAAAGCAGCTAAGTGAATGATGTGTCCCCTTCTAAACAATGAACTAATTGGAAGATGAGAAACAAGGATTCAATATTTGTAGTAAATGGAGTTCACTGGGAAAGCCCTGAAGGTGTTTGTGCTACCTGATGTCTGAAAGGCAGTGGCAAAGTTTTCTGGCTCCTTAAGGGCTAGCTGAGAAGGGAGGCAGAAGGACCTTTCAAGGTGATGCACCAAGAAATACTATAAACTTTGTAGAGAGTGGTAGACCCTGGGCTGACAGTTTCTTACAAAGATGAGATCTTTACACTTTTGCAGAACACTGCTTTGATAATGCTCTCTTGATTTCTTACTGAGAATTGAGTGTCAAGCCAAACTTCAGACATGTTTCAGAACAAAGAATAGAAATTAAAACATTGTGTAAAAATCCATATACGTCCATCACAAACAGTGAGTTTAATTTTGCCTCTTACATCAGAGGAAAGTTAAAATACAAATGGAAACAAAATAGTGAAGGATGTTAATAGTGGTCAAACACATGGAATTGCTTCTGTGTAAAGAAAGAATGATTCTTCAACCTGAAAAAGAAAAAGAGGAGGTATGATGGAGGTCTGTGTAGTCATCAGCAGTATAAGAAAAAGGTAGAGAGCAGAATGACAAGAAATCAATTACTCCAAGAACTGAAAAATCATCTAATCTGATTCAAATTAAATCTGATGCTGATTTAAGCTGTGAAATGCCATAGCAGAGGACACAGGATGCTAAACTCTTATGGTTTCAAAAATCTGAGTGAACTAGCAAATAATACTCAGTTGAGAACTAATAAACGTAAAGGCATCATCTCTGACTGAAGAAGTCCCTGAGTTAACTTCCTTATGCACTTGCTCTCAGCTGATGTGCCATAAGATAGATGGATTCAGATTCTGCTCTGATAGTTTGACAGTCTTTATCTTGATGGCCTAAAAAACAATGCAGAATGCTTCATCACTAGCTAAAGTTCATGCTCTCGCTAAATTATTAATCGTTCTTTGGAAGTTTGCTTACCTTTTGAACAGATGAGGGATATGACTTCTTTTGGACATGGGTAGATAGCCTTAATTGACATACTTGCCGTGGTACATGTCTCATCTTGTGATCACCTGCCTTTCTGCCTCCGATTTTTTTGCTGAATCCTCAAATTGAAGATGAAGTTGCCAGATTTTTTACATTTCAAGCTGAAGAGGATGGATAGGTTTGCTGATGAATGTGTGCTCCCTGTTCCAAGTTTTGTTCTGGTTGTACAGTAGCAAAACTAAAGTTTTGCTCTATTTTTCAGCATATAGTTGAAAGTGACTGTAATGACTGTCTGCTTTTAGTGTTTTAACTGTTGAAGGAGGGATCATTTTTACTGTATTTTGACCTTATTTACAGTAAATACTTATATATAATTAAGTCAGATGTACACTTACTGAACTAAAATACTTAGTGCAAGAATGGGACAAGATGGTGTGTTTGCTTGAAGAACTACTTGCCAAAAATATAAAACGTTCTTAATTTTTTTTAGTTTCATGTTGTTGATTTTTGTGAATACCTCCTAGTAGATATTTTCACAACATATGTCAATAAATAAGGTTTGGGAAGTTGTATCTCCTACGAATGAGAAATTCACAGCTTGCATTTCCTCCTTCTAATTTGTCCTTTAATTATTTTACTGTTGGTAGTCTGAGGGTAGCACTTGCATGTCTGTCTTGGGAGTCTAGAAGTTGCATATTGAAGGTTGATTGGATTGATGTAACACACACTGTACAAATTAAATAATAGTTTAAGGGATTTTTGCCACCCTGCAGTTAACTGTAGTTATTCCTGAACACTAATCTTCAGCAGTTTTTCTGGATCCTCAGTGTCTCTTCTAATTATAATTTGACAGTAGAATGTTGCTTATGGAATTATGCTTTCAATAACTGTTTCTGTTTTGTACACACAGTTGTCATGATGGCTTGGGGTTCTTTCTACTCTAAACTTATTTGGAAATACAGATAATGAAATATCTGCAGCTACTTTAGTATTCTAAGCAGTTGCTTCAAATGTTTACTTTGTGTTCCTGTTTAGCCACTTCTGGTTAGTTAGCTTTTGTTACAAGTAGTCAGTTGTCTGTCCTAAGTTATTGCTGTCAGACGTCAGGAAAGGAGCTTGCTTTGATGTTATCAGTATTTAGGAAATCTGTTTCAGCTTCATCTTTTGAAACTCTTGTATCTATTTTAAGTACGTACGTATTAAGCCAACTTACTGTATGCCATTAAGCAGTCAATAGGTATGTGTGTAGTACCTTATATGTGATAGATTTACTCAGACTGCTACTAGATCTTTTAGGCAGTTTCTGTTCCAGGTTGTTGGAGATCCCATAAAGAAAGTGTTGTGCTATATTTCTGATCATTTAATTATTTTGCCTTGGTCAGCATGTGAGGTATGATCTAGGGACTTTGTAGCCCTGTGATCAGACCTGTAGGATTTACAAGCTCCTTACATGCTGTACCTAGTTTATGTGTCGCTGAGTGAATTATGGGTAGAGCAGACTTGTGCTTTACATGGATCAGCTCATGTGATAAGGCCCTTGCATTCGTCCAGGATATCTCTGAAAGTCTTGCTGAGTGTCTCACTTGGTCATGGTCATGCTCTTGCGAAGATCCTCTAAAAAACAGACACCTCTGCCACAATTAGTATTTAATGTGGAAGTTCTCTGGTTTTATAAGGCTGATGCACAGTGAGCGTATTTTATACTGAAATCCAAGGGTTTTAAGGATGCTTTGAAATCTGAACCATTTCATTTGCAGGACATTTACTTCAGAAAACACTTAGTAAACTGTTAGTGCCATTGGACTTGCACAGCTAAAATTAGACAAGTATGAAAAGACCAGTTGCTTCAAGTGGTATTCAGTGGAAGTGACTTGTTGAGGAAATACAGCTGGTAATGTGTGCTTCATTTGTTGTTTGTATGCCTAAACTGAGTGCCTTTTTTTTTTTTTTTTTTAGCAGCACAGTGGAATGAAGTTTTCCATGAAAGGAAATCATAACCAAGGCAACAGCTACAGCCCCGTCAGCAGTGGAGGCATGAGGCAACCAGTTGGTAACCGAGGACACCACCAGTACAATCGTAATATATGGAGAAGAAAAAAACACAGAGACAGTTTGCCTATTAGTCTGAGCAGATAATGGCAGATGCCAAAATGACCTTCCCTGTTCAGACAAACTGAGTGAGTGCCACTCGACTTGGGGGATGGAGACCAGCGTCCAGCACATCGTTTTATTGGTGTTGCCAAATATCTGCAGCTGACTTCTTTGCATGTTTCTTTGTGTGGTGGTTCAATCCATCTTCAAGAAGTAGTTGTGCTTATCTGTGAAGCCTTATAAATGTGGAAGTTTGTTTTCTGCCTTCCCACAGTGGTTCATTCAGTGCCGAAGCAGCTCTGACAATAGAACTGCAAGGACATTTACAAATGCTGTAGCTTTTTTGCTGTGGCTACATCTGTTCCTTTGTGGGTTCTGTTTTCTTTTATTTTGGAAGTGAAGGAAACTTCAGCCCCTTGGAATTTTTTTTTTTTTTATTGCAGCAAATCAAGCTGGGAATTCATAAAAGTAAATTTGCTGCTCTCCTGTTTTTCTTTCAAAGTTCAGAATTTTTTGCTCTGTAACTATTGGAAGTATAATTTGTGCAATAACTTGGAATTTTTAACTTAATTTCATATTGTCACATAAGTTATATTTAAGGGGAAGAGGTTTTTTAAGTTACAGATCCTTTCCCAGGTTGCATTATCTAAGTTGGGTTCATAGTTTTGGCAGGTTGTCTGAGCAGTGTTACAAACATGACATTTGGTAATATTTGAGGCTTCTTGATTCACAATGAAAGTGCGATTTGGCTTACAGTTTTAAGAAGGTATTAAGCTCCAAAGCATTTTGACCCTGTGTTTTTTAGCTCATTGTCTGGCCTCTATCAGTTGTCTTGCTCTGACCAATGAGTTTTAATTTTATTCCTTTAAATAGACAACAAATCCAGCATTTGTAGTACCAGAAGTAAAACTTGTGAGAGGGATGGGAAAAAGGTTGGTTCAAGTCCTGATATGAAATTAAAAAGCTGTGAACTACACGCTTTGATCAATTTTCATAACGTAACCTGTTAATGTTTGGGTTGAAACAACATTATTAAACAGAGATACCCGGCTTAAGGAATGTGGAGAAAGGAAATATGTTGATTCCATTAAGGAATCTGTATGCAGATGCATTAGTTCTGTTAAGAGCAAATATATAAAAAGTACTTCAGCTGCTCTAAGCATTACAAGAAGTATCTTTTAATGTGTTGCAGGAGAGCACAGCCCAGTGTTGTACACAGGATGAGTGGCTGGCACTTAACTTACAGATGCATACAGGTATACTATGCAAGTGTGTATTGCCATGACGAACACTGTCTTTAACTTTTTAAAAATGTACATCCTGCCTAACCCTGAGTTTTTAAAGCACCACAGTTGTCCTGGGAGTAGGTCACATCTCATGCCCTCTGACTTCCCTTTTTTTTAGTGAGAGTTCTTAAGCTATACAGAAAACTACAGATAAGTTATGTAAGTCCACTAGCAGAGGAAGCTGAAGAATCCTGTTAACGGGACATCTATATCTGTACACAGTATAGAAGGTTTTAAAACTGATAGCTGAATATTGAAATGAGGTGTCAAGCATGAAGCTTTTTAATATGCTGTATGCCTTTGAAGCAGTAGTTCATGTTATTACTGAATCTGTTGAACACAAGCAGGTCCTTGAGGGGAGAGAGGGCAACATTCCAAAGTAGAGTAGTGCATATCTGTTTGCAAAAAGTTTGTCTTAATGCTCCAGACTCATCACAATTAAAAAAATAAAAAAGTTCTAAAAATTGTGAGCTGATTCATAAATAATATCTAAGGGCTGTTACATGAGCCTGTACTGCTTAGTCTTCACACACTAGCAATATTGACCATAACTACATTAAAGAGCCTTCAGAGGCTTTAGTTGGTGTCTTATACTAGCATCCATTTTTAAAGCAAAACTCATTTGAAAAGTGGTATCATGTAACACTTCAGTCATGGTGAACCAAATAAATTGGCCTGGCTATCACTGTGGTTATGTGCTACAGGTTTAAAAAATAATGTTTAAATTTTTTGTGTGGACAACTATGTGGAAGCTAAAATTGACATATTTTTATGTAAAGTTTTCTATTCTTTGATTTTTAATAAACTTTGGAGACCAGTCACTCTTCTGTACATTTTTTTTTTTGAAATTTCATGATGAAGTAATACTTGACCATATCCCATTCTTTGATGTACACTTTGATCATCTACTTTAAAATTGTTCATGCTGAGCACCTTCAGAATGAACTTGGATACCCTTAAACAAGCAAAGGAGCTAGAGGTAGTTCCCAGCAGTATTCTTAAGAGGAGATCAACTGACTGATGCTTTGGGATACCTTAACTTCCATATAACTGTTAATTTCTTTCTGTAGTTTCTATATTACTTTCAAAATATTTGTCTAGTTTTCAGCCTCATCAAAGATTGGTGGTTGTGGTTTTTTTTTTTTTTTGCGTTCTGTTAACCCTCTGAGAGGACTCTGAAACATCAGTACTGACTCTAATTGAAAATTTTAGAAAATGAGTCTTTGGAAGGAACTTGTATAAATCTGTGAACTCTGAGAAAGGGAACTGAACTGTTTTTAATAGACAGTGGTGTAGGGTTAGGAATTACGAATTGGAGACGTACTTGGTAAGTCTTAATGAGTACCTGCTGGAGAAAAGTAGAAAAGTGATGGGAAGGGAAAATAAGAACTCAATAGTAGCTGGGATAATAAGAATTTTTTCTGTCAACATCAGTTTGCCGGTGGGACATGGCTGACAGAGGGATATATAATCTCTTCAGACACAAAGATTAAGTGCAGCAGCATTGGTCTTGTCATTTCTGTTTCCCTGGGCTTCTCTTCCCTTTTTCTGTCCAGATAATGATTTCGCTTTTTCTTGCTACAGATTCTGGCAAACTATTTATCCTTATTAGTAGTCTGCTTTTAATGCATTAAGTCCTTTGAACCCTCATGCTGTGATAATAATCCGAGATACCCACTTGATCTGTTTTCAAGCCTTACTGACTATGTTGTACACTGTTCATAGGCAAAACTAGCCACTAGATGTGGAAGGAAGAGACTGCAAATTGAATGGAGGAACCAGGGAGTCCGTCATAGAAAGAGCTCAGTTGTGATCTGTCCCTGTTTACAAGAGATGTCAGTGCTGGTGTTGCATTGGACTTTGCACAGGGATGGAGTTACCTGCCCTGAGGCAGGGTAAGAATACAGAAAGGTGACTACTGGTACAGTGCTGCTGGTTCAGCAGTGGTTATTTCCATGGAAATGGCCTCCGGAGAATGGGCATAGCAACAGTCTCTCAAAGAGTAGTGTTGGAATACAGCATGCCTTCAAGCAGTGTGACCTCTTTATCATTTGTAGGTAAAAAGAAAAGTTTAAATTGTGAGGTAACTCAGTGTATACGTGTGGGGAAGTGAATGTATCAATTTCTGAGCTCTCAAGGACAAGAAGCCTTCTACTTGCTGGCTACTGTCAGTATAGTCTGATTATAAATTATAAATGTAGTAATACCTGGACTAAACCAAAGTTATGACCTGAATTCTCCAATTGAAAGACATGATAGAACCATCGATTAGGTGGCTGGTCTTGTGTACTTAGACAGTTTTGATTGGGGTTTGAAGTATTTTGGAAAGCAGATGTGGTGCCAAAAAGAAGGATGAGAAGTAACCTTAGAACAGAAACCTGAAAAGAAACATCTTGTAGGTCAGGACAATGTTTAATATCTTTATCGATGATTTAGATGAGGGGATTGAGTCCATCATTAGCAAATTCGCAGACGACACCAAGTTGAGAGGGAGTGTCGACCTGCTGGAAGGCAGGAGGGCTCTGCAGAGGGACCTGGATAGGCTGGAGAGTTGGGTTGGTTCCAACGGGATGAGGTTTAACAAGGCCAAGTGCCGGGTCCTGCACTTTGGCCACAACAACCCCCTGCAGCGCTACAGGCTGGGGACAGAGTGGCTGGAGAGCAGCCAGGCAGAAAGGGACCTGGGAGTTTGGATTGACAGGAAGCTGAACATGAGCCAGCAGTGTGCCCAGGTGGCCAAGAAGGCCAATGGTATCCTGGCCTGGATCAGGAATAGTGTGCCCAGCAGGACCAGGGAGGTGATTCTGCTCCTGTACTCGGTGCTGGTGAGGCCTCACCTGGAGTGCTGTGTCCAGTTCTGGGCCCCTCAGTTCAGGAAGGATATTGAGGTGCTGGAGCAGGTGCAGAGAAGGGCAACGAGGCTGGTGAAGGGACTCGAGCACAAGTCCTATGAGGAGAGGCTGAGGGAGCTGGGGTTGTTTAGCCTTGAGAAGAGAAGGCTCAGGGGAGACCTCATCGCTGTCTACAACTCCCTGAAAGGAGGTTGTAGCCAGGTGGGGGTTGGTCTCTTCTCCCAGGCAATCAGCAGTAGGACAAGAGGGCATGGCCTTAAGCTGCATCAGGGGAGGTTTAGGTTGGATATTAGGAAGAAATTCTTTACAGAGAGGGTAATCAGGCATTGGAATGGGCTGCCCAGGGAAGTGGTGGATTCTCTTTCCCTGGAGGTTTTTAAGATGAGGCTGGACGTGGCACTTAGTGCCATGGTCTAGCAACTGTGGTGGTAGTGGATCAAGGGTTGGACTTGATGATCTCAGAGGTCCTTTCCAACCCATCTGATTCTATGATTCTGTGATTCTATGATGTGTGAAGAAAAATACCAGAGGATGCCCCAGAACCTTGACTGATAGTACCTTGGACTAGTAGCTCTGGATACCTGTATGGTATGGAGGGACACAGATTTCTGCCTGACCTTCATACACCAGCAGCAAACCTCTCTGCCTGAAAGGATGCTGAGACCCCAGCAAATGTAGTGCTTTAGGGGAGTGAGTGGATGAGTGTGTGAAATAAATCAGTTTGGATAAAAGCTGATTTGTACATAAACCCCAGTATTCGGACTAGTATTAAACAACCACCCACCCACTATGGGTAGTTGTTTCATTTGCCTGTAACAAAAAATGGTGTCAGAATGACTAAACCTCAGGTTCACAGCCAGAAGGCTCTTACAGCTGACCTTTCCCAGAATCATCTTTAAGTGGCCTTAGGCTTTCTTCTCAACCAGGATATTAACTTGTATTAAATTTGGGTTGATCTTTTTGCCATTTTTTTTCAGCACACCGCATAGGTTTTAGTCCTGGAATGCATTTTGGATGACAAAAGTCCTTCATTTGTTCTTGGCAGTAGGAGATCAGCTAAGGAAACCTATGGACATCTTGTATGTGCAAGAGATTCTATTGGACAAAATGTTTTTAACCAAGGATTCTTACCAGATCAGCCATGTATTTCTGTTATAATTGCCTAAAGTCACGGTCACAGGCTGCAATTGTGTGTCAGTGAAAGGATGATAGGGATGCTTCTTTTTGGACATCTCTCTTCCCAAAACGTGCCAAATTGTTGCCTAAAGCTCTGGTCACAATCCTTCTTAGTGTTATGCTACTGCAAAAGTTTTGACCTAGAGTTGCCTATGGCACAGCAGCCTTTCAGTTTCAAATCAATTAAGGATTCTCCAGTCACTGGCTTTTTTCATGAGCCTTTTCTATTGGGGGATTGTTGCCTGAGCATAAAAAGAAATTATGAATGGAGGGAAGAGCCCATATGCAGCAGATACTGTTGATATACACGTCTGTGTTTGTGATCAGGAAAATTTTCTGCGTTGTTGCTACTAATGGCTTTTGTGTCACTGCCTCTCCTGCTCGGGTGGGTGCAAAGGACATTTTGTCCGACCTCAGCTATTTTCCCCTTATGCACCAAAATGTGATGTGTTTTCCTGCTGTGAATTCTTAGCTCTGCAGCAAGCTGTTTCCTGCTTCAGTAACTTAGGGGAGTTGGACAGTAGCTTGATTTACAGTCTCACTAAAACATGGCTCCCAAATAAATGCTTCAGTGACTCATTTTTAAACTTAAACCAAACAGGATTTAGGAGTTCCTATAAAAGGAATTTGTGTGAGAGGATGAAAGCGGTGGTTAAACTGTGGTTAAACTGTGAAAGTGGAAGGCTGTAACCTCTGTGCTGAAATTGCCACTTTTTATTAGTGAAAACTTTGGCAGTAATCCCCTTGGGGATGTTCTGTTGAGAAAATATTTGTAAGAAATTTCCTTGCTTTTTGCTCTTCCTTTTCAGAGAAGAAAAGCTACATCTTCTGATGGGCTACATACATGACTTCAGGATTGCTATTGGATGCATCTGGCTAATTTGAGGAGCCAAAATGAGTAGGTGATCTCTCACCCTTGTCAAGGGTTGCGTGTCCAGGTGATTGATAGGGATCACTTGAGTACCACTTAGTGTATAATTGTGGGTGAGATCATCAAATAATTGCTGTTCTCTCAGGGAAATTTCTTAGGAGACTGAGGAACAGAAAATAAGATTATCTATTAGTCATTCATACATGTGCATGCAGTGGATGAGCAGAGCAGAGCTGCAGTTCCCAGCTGCAAGTGCAGGATTTGTTCTGCTGTCCTTACAAGGGCCTCAGGGAGAGCCAGGTCAGCCCAGCAAGTCTGTTTGCCCCTCTCATTAGGGAATGCTACCACTTCTGCTCAGGAGCAGGTCTGTGCAACGACAGTTTTACGATCTGTTCCTGATGTGGTGGTTGAGCAAAATAACTTGCGATTTCTTCCCAATCCTCTGTTAGAAAGGAATGGTCAGGGGATGTGAGGTTATCAGGTTTGCATTTGCTGTGTGGTTGTGAGGGTTACAAATCATGAGTGGTTTAAGCACTGGATACATTTCCATCCTTTGAAATTGTAAAACCTGGCAGGACAAGGCCCCACGTAACCCACTCTAACTTGAAAGCCAGTCCTGCTGGACCATGAGACCTCTGTAGAGCTTCTCCTCATTAAAATTTTTCAATGATACCACGAAAAAGAGTAAATATTTTTTTATTTTAGTTTGTTGGGTTTATGAGGTGTTTTAATGGGGATATAAGTCAGGCAGGAATTGTTCTTTTTTTTTTTTTTCTTTGCTTTGTTCTGCACTTGATAAAACATATCTCCAGATTCTAGGACCAAGAAGTTGAAACACATAACAACCTATTTATTATTAACTTCTGAGTTCTGAAGTTAATAATCCCTTGAAATGAGTAGCCCCCAAGCTTAAATTACTGAT